ACATTGCACTTGGCCTTGTTGAACCTCATGAGGTTCACACAGGCCCACCTCTCCAGCCTGTCCAGGTCTCTCTGGATGACATCCCTTCCTTCTGGTGTGTCAACCGCACCACTCAGCTTGGTGTCATCCGCAAACTTGCTGAGGGTGCACTCGATCTCACTGTCTAAGTCATTGATGAAAACGTTAAACAGCACCGGTCCCAGTACGGACCCCTGAGGGACAACCCTGGAGCAAAGGAACGAGTGTTCGCGGCTGTTCGTACCTTAATAGAGTCAGCGAACTCAAGAGCAGGAGTCAGTTAGTCGCAAGAGGAACTAGAACCCCAACGTGAGTAAATAAAGTTGGCGAAGAGCTGTGCTAGACCTGGAGCTACTGGTGGAAAGGAGCCTGATGGTGACGAGAGTTCAAGTAGAGGAGCTGATGATGAAATTCATACCCTATAGCGAAGGGAAGATGTTAGGTCGTGGGTACTCTCCAATTTTGATGCCAGATTCTGCCTCAAACAAGCAGAAAGGTGGACACCAAGCACCACAGCTGACACTATCAGGGCCCAGAAAGCTATCGGGCTTGCCGAGCAAGCCCCACTTCTTCTATTAGGAAAGGATTGGAGCTGCTTTCAGCATCCACAGCCAGGTGTCAGAGTTCAGGGACTGCAGGTGCATCTGCTCCCAACCCTATCGTGCAGCTGGAAGTCTTGTCGTGACAAGAGACTTGGGGAGCCAGCGACAGGAGAGCCAGCGAGCGTTACCTAGGAAGAGGCAGAGGTAGTTCCATGTACACACGCAGAAGGGATCTGACCCTTTGGGAACCTAGGGGGTATCAATGTGCATCCCAAAGCACCTACGGAGGTCACCGAGTTAAGTCTCATGGCTCCCGTAGGACTCTGGGAATGCGTACTGGGGAGGAAATAACAGCAGCAAGAGGCTCAGCCCGCTCTGCAGCAGAGCTAAGAACAGGATCGCACGCACCTCGGGCAACACCCGTGCTTTTTGGCTTTCCCCTTTTTGCTCTGCATGGTCAAGAGACAGAGCAATTGCTCTCATCAGGCAGGGAGGCGTGGGGTCCCGGGCTGTGCCGAGCCAACGCGTGTGTTGAGAAGGAGGGTTTGGGAATGCCCATGGCTCTCCGAAATGCCCACATGTGTTTCTGTCCCTCTTTGCAAGACAGGAGCAGAATCATAGAATCATAGAATCACAGAATCGTTTGGGTTGGAGAAGCCCTTTAAGATCCTAAACCTTCAAGGCCAGGTTGGACGGGGCTCTGAGCAACCTGATCTAGTTAGCAGTGTCCCTGCTCCCTGCAGGGGGGTTGGACGAGATGACCTCTAGGGGTCCCTTCCAACCCAAAATGATTCTACGATCACCAAGTCCAACCATTCCCCTAACCCTGCCATCCCACCACCAAACCCCGGCCCTAAGCAAGGTGAAGAATAAAGGTGAATAAAAGCCAGTCGAGGTGACAGACCGACCACGAGATGAAAAACGCTCCCCTCTGCCCGCCCGATTTCCCTCGTGCTCACGAGTGACTCAAAAAAAAAACCCAAACCCAAACCCAACCCCACCTGGACGACGGCCAAGTAAAGCAAATGCCTGTGTGCGAATGGAATGCGGCTCCGGACAAGCGCTCTGCCCTCGCCAGTTGCCCGTTTCAGACCCGGGCCTGCCAGCAGCACTAAATCTCTCCCCATGACTGCAAACACCAAAGGAACACGCTGATTTATGGTTCCTTTAAGTAAGAGAAGCAGAGTGTAAAACGAGAATATTTTCTGGATGAAAAATTAAAGAGGTGGTGTTGTTAGTTCCT